TGTTATCTGTATGCACCAAGGGTCTGAGAGTAACGCAATTTCAATTCTCTGTATGTATGTACTGTACATGTGGAAGAATTGACAATAAAGCAGACTTTGACTTTGACTACATATCACAAATGTTACTTGTGGGTTATATTTATATTTATTTGAGCTTAATTTTACAAATTACTTTATTTTTGGGGTAATAAAGTGAAGCCTTATAAATGAGATTAGTAGATGATATTACTACATGTAAACCTCAAGAAACTTGAAAACTGTCTGTGAAAGTTACCCGTCTCAAGACGCTGAAATTCATTTTCCTGGCACCATTATAAAAATGTTTTAAGAAATTTCCATTTGGTGTTGCTTTAAACTATTATACTACTTGATGCAAAAGTGAATTTGCCTTAAGTGATTTTGTTAAACTTTGTGCGCTTATTCATGTAGAAGTTTTATTAGAAACAAAAATAAAATGCATACATTTTTAAGCTGTCTGGTCTGGTTTTTTGGGGGTTTTTTTTTACAGTGCGGCACTCATTCTCATTTTATTTTTTAGATATTCCTGCATTTTACTTAAAAAAACAACAACAACAGGAAAATACTATAAAATCAGTGTGCACATGTCACGGCTGGTGGTAATGTGAAGAGCACGGAGTGAGGAAAATACAAAACGAAGGAGTTTAATTTAATCACGGGGAATCACACATAGCACAAAGAGTTGACATTGACATACAATTCCAGACAAGGGAGAACTGAACGGGCTAGAACTAAATAGGGCAGATAACGAGGGGCAGACAGGTGATGGGGATAACTAATAACAAGGAACAGGTGATACTAATAATGAGAAAAGGAACTGGAAGGACCAAATAAGGAAAACAGGAACTCAACGGGAACATACACGTGACAGCACATAAGTGCTTTAAAATAGTTGTTACTCACTGCCACATATTAAGACTTTACAACTGACAAAATCTAGTTACAGTAAATCCCAGGAAACTAAGACTGCAATAAAACTTGATAAAACAGCATGAAACACTGAAAAACATAAATAAATGGAAAGAAAGTGTAGTTAATATTTATATTCTTTATATAATAATTTTTTGCAATAAGCTCTAAAAGCTGAAGAAATCTCTCCTCTCTCTCCTTTGTCTCCCTGTCTCTTCTTTCCTCTCTCTCTCTCATTTCTCGGTCCTTTCTTTCTTTTATTTCCCTGGCCTCTCATTCTCATCTTTCCTCTTGCTCACGTCTCTCTCTTTCTCTTCTTCCCTCCTTTTACACCATCTCTCTCCATCGCCTCTCCTCCCTTTCAACAGCTTCCATTTCTCTTTCTGCTTCCCTCTCCTCTATCTCATGGATCAGCTCCTCTATTTCCTTCCTCTTCCTCCCTACTCTTTCAGCCGTTGAACTTGCCCACACGTGCCCCGCATTTCACGCCGGTATCGGGGCCCACAGCGGGCTGCCCGCAGGGGCCCGCACGGGCCCCAAAGGGGTATGTTTGCTGGGTAGCAGTTGCTGAATAAACAGAAGATTTAAATGCTTTCACTGATTCAAGGTGATTAATAAACACACACCTACGGCAATATATGGTTTATCTGAGTTCTTCTACTTTATTATAATAAAAAATATAATAATATCTATAATGCAATGGCAATTGACATAGCCTTTATCACTGCCTAGAATACTATGAAATATGTTGTGTGCCTTATTCTGTGTAAGAAGCCACATCATCTCACAGAAGGATTTATTTCAAACACTCGGCTGACGTTATGAAGTGAGTTTGGAGTAAAAACATTTTATTAAATGTGGTATTTTCACGTGCTTTCAGATGGAGCAGCATTTACTACACAGAGCTGTAGTTCACTGAGAAGCTACACAAACAGCTGTCGTTATCGCAAATGATTTCATAATCATACGATTATATCGTCTGCAATTTTTTTGCGTAGCTTGTCAGAGGACTACGTCTCTGTGTAGTAAATGCTGCTCCATCTGACAGCAGGTGATGGAGATTTACTACTAATCACAGAACTAGCATTACTAACAAGATGTGCATGACAATCGCATTCGATTAATCATGCAGCGCTAGTTACAGCAACATCTGGTCCAGATGAGACAATAAGGTTGGGTGGTGTGATGGAGGGTCTGCCCCCTATTGCCTCATCCAAGACAGCATACCATTTCCAAGATGCTGCTGTAACCTCACCATCCTCGGTGCTCACACCAGTCTGTGGACATTTAAGATCCTACAAAAATTGAAAAGCACAATATCAAGACAATTGTCAATTACATTCATTAGATTACTGCATTACTATGACATGGAAAAACAGCATGATCAAATCATGAACTAATAAAAATTTTGGGGTGAACAAAAAATATATTTTTTTTAAATCTTACTTTATTTTTTTGTTTTAAGTTCTCGCACTTTCTTTTGACTTGAGCGGCAGAAATTTTGCCCTCAAGTCCCTGCTCTGTCACAAAAGCTGTCATAATAAATGCACAGAAATCAAGCATAAAAAGAAGGCAGTAAGACCTTTG